AAGATTCCGTTCAATACTGTCTTACTTTATTTACTGCAGCCTTAGCAAGGCGTCAACTTTGTCATGTTCCTGCAGGCTAATGTGCGAAGGAATCCACAACATTTTTATATTTACCCTCTTGCTAAGTATTCTTATATATCTACGTCTAGCTTCCAAGACAAACACGTTATTACTCAATCATATGTTTCCTGGAATACGACCCCCACGAAGAATCGTTTAATAACCAGGAACCCATTTTACTGTTGAGTTAAACAGAGGCTACAGTTAAGGATTTGCGCCCAGTAAATCCTCCCCGGCCAGGATACGAACCCAGGACAAAGCGCTCGCGGAACTCCAGGCTTGAGTTTGTATGTTGCACCATACCGACAGTGTGTATACATTGAGTTTACCTCAATCCTGAATTTTGTTCAGGATTAATGATTTCTTGCTGGTTGACGGAGACGAGTAACCTTAATAACCCTCCCGAGGTTAATATATCTTAAATCCAGCACCAAGACAAGAACTACATGCAAACACTCCATGTAAACCCTCCATGTAAACACTCCATGTAAATACTCCATGTAAACACTTCATGTAAACACTCCATGTAAACACTCCATGTAAGCACTCCATGTAAACACTCCATGTAAGCACTCCATGTAAACACTCCAAGCAAACACTCTATGTAAACACTCCATGTAAACACTCCATGTAAACACTCCATGTAAACACTTCATGTAAACACTCCATGTAAACACTCCATGTAAGCACTCCATGTAAACACTCCAAGCAAACACTCTATGTAAACTCCATGTAAGCACTCCATGTAAACACTCCAAGCAAACACTCTATGTAAACTCCATGTAAACACTCCATGTAAACACTCCATGTAAACACTCCATGTAAGCACTCCATGTAAACACTCCAAGCAAACACTCTATGTAAACTCCATGTAAACACTCCATGCAAACACTCCATGTAAACACTCATGCAAATAAAAGGCCCCTGTCTATGGAACTCACTCCTTAATGAATACAAAAATTGTCCAAGCTACACTTTATTCAAAAGTAATACCAAAAATGTCTTAATTGCATCCTCATAGTTTCCTACCTTGTGCTTCAAAATCATGCTGCATCTTGTGCTGCCAACTCACCCAATTCTAGTACTTAAGACATGCAACATCATCAGTATAATCAATACAATCCATATTTACTGTTGTTATTTTGAAGTAATAACATAAGTGGAAGAGGAAGGAAGAGCATTGACAAACTGAAAGACTCAAAAGCCTCAGGTGTGGATGGAATCCAATCCAAAGTCATAAAGGAATTGGTTGAACTATGCCTTCTACTAAAACCACTATTCACAAAATCTCTGGACCAAGGGATAGTCTCCTAGATTAGAAATATGCAAATGTCGCCCCTATTTTCATAAAAGGCAGAAAGAGCTCAACAGAAAACGACCGTCCGATCAGCTTGACGTATCACACATCTGCAAGCTCATGGAGAGAATCCTAAGGGAAGGAATCATTCACCATCTTTCAGTGAACAATCTTGTAAAATCGACACAACGGGTTTGTTAAAAATAGATCCTGTCTTACAAACCTGCTCACATTTTTGGAAACGGTAACCAGCTACTAAAACAAACTTCCGGTGGATGTAGTATAAATGGATTTTGTTACAGCCTTTGATAAAGTACACATGAAAGACTGGCAAAGAAGCTACAGGCACATGGAATAAATGGTAGAATACTAGAATGGATTAAACAATGGTTAAAACACAGAAAACAAAGAGTCGTGCTAAATGGAGTGAGTCTGACTGGAGAAATATGGTAAATAGGGTACCACAGGTGTTCATTTTGGGGCCAACTCTTTTTGTCATATATGACAAAATGCAATACAATGACATATATGAGAATTTTACAAACCACATCATCAAATTTGCAGATGACACAAAGGACTATAGTAGAGTGGGAAATGATAATGAAATTGAAACTTTACAAAGAGATCTACATGAACTTCACAAATGGCCAGAAGACTGACAAATGCTTTTTAATTTCGACAAATGCAAGACCATGAATGTGGGGCATAACAACCCACGCCACAACTACCAAAAATTAACATTACATTTCAGCAGATTGATGAAGAAAAGGACTGTAACGTACGATTATGTTACGTTGTTGGGTAGATTTAACCCACACAGTGTTTAGTGAGTTTCATATTAATTTAGTAGTCTTGATTACAGCAGTCGGTTGTTGGCATTGTCGTAGACGTTGAGACGGAACTTGGAGCAGAGCAGAGAGCTGAGTGAGGCCCGAGTCGCGGAGCTCAATGGGGCAAGCGTGGCGGCTCGATGGGGAATCGTGTCTAAACTCGATGCGGTCGTAGTCTGCTGTCTGCTCTGTGTCGAAGCTGGAACGTCTTGAAGTCGATTAGAACTACATACACCGACTGCTACATTCTTGAGGTTCAAGAGGTGTGGTAACTCCGAAGCATCTGTACTGAAGTTAACTGAATCACTGTAGAAATTATACTGTTGGCTATTCGTTGTTTTAGATTCAGCTACTGGGAACAAAAGTGCCAAGTAGCACGGGCTATGGTGAGCTCGTAGTGGACTTACCTGGCACAGGAACGGGGCTGTGGTTGGCTATTCGCGTCTCCAATACTTATATTATTGGACTACACCTCAGCTTCCTCCAGTAGGATGGAATGAAATGTAATTAGGGGAAAAGATTTGATTGATGCCATTATTGCTAAGGAGAGGTTTGCTTCTCTCCACTGCAGCTAATGAGTTTGGAGCGAGTAAATTGTTTACATAATTTCCTCGCTACAGGACCTTGGGGTCAAAATCCACCACTCACCGAAAGTTGCACACCAGGTGGGAGCAGCATTCAAGAAAGCTAACCAAACCCTTGGAATAATCAATCGTACTTAAAGGAAAAGAAGGTAGTGATTCAATTGTACAAATCTCTAATGCGCCTCCATTTGGAATTTACATTACTGTATCCAAGTACGGAGACCTCATCTTCATAAGGACATAGCTGCTCTGGAGAAAGTATCACACCGGGTAACAAAAGTCATTCCCGAGCTACGTCAACTTACGTATCAGCAACGGTTGAGGGCCACAGGGCTAACAACACCACAAACCAGACATGACAAGGCGGATCTCATTGAACATCTTAAAATACTGAACAATTTGGAGGATGTTAATTCTGACAATTTCTTCAAAAGGTCAGATGTAGCACAAACAAGGAGTAATGGTTTCAAGCCCAAAAAGCCACAATGTAGGACTGGGGACAGGAGATGATTTTTCACCCACATAGGTTCCATATAAACCTATGGAACTACCTACCCGCCGAAGGCGTAAATGCCACAACACTAAAATTTTAAAATCCAACTGGAAAAGATCATCAAGGCCTTTGACAAGCTGCCGGCTTCCTGTCATCGTCGAGGCCACGAGTGCTAGTAGCCCTTGGGTAAATTCAGGCAAGGAAATCAAATTCTGCTACAATGTACCTTTTAATTACTCTTACTTTTATTTGTTAGATTAAGGACCTGCCCAATGCGCGATGCGTGTTAGTGGCTTTGTAAGAATAATAAATAAATAATAAATAAATAAATGTTTATTAAGGTAAAGTACATACATACAAGAGGTTATACAATAATTGATAGATTTATAGATAGAGCTAGTACATACAATGCCTAAAGCCACTATTACGCAAAGCGTTTCGGGCAGGAAAAATATTAAAGACTAAAACTTAATACTAATTGAGATTAAAGTATAAAATGTGTTGAGAACAATTAAAAGTAAAAAAAAAGGGGGGAACATGGCAGAAAAAGCAGCACAAATACAATTAGGTCGACAAACAGCGTTGTTTAAAAAAACAGATATGGGCTGACAATATGGGGGTAATGTAGGTTACAGGGAATTTATTAGGTAGTGCTTAGTTTTTATCTTAAACTGGTTGAGAGAGGTACAGTCTTTAACATGGTTGGAAAGGTCATTCCACATTCTGGGTCCCTTGATTTGTAGAGCATTTCTAGTTTGATTAAGTCGTACTCTTGGAATATCAAAACTGTATTTGTTTCTGGTGTGGTGCTCATGGGTTCTGTTACAATCTTCAATGAAGCTTTTGAGGTCAGGATTGGCATTACAGTTCAGCGTTTTATATATATATATATATATATATATATATATATATATATATATATATATATATATATATATATATATATATATATATATATATATATATATATATATATATATATATATATATATATATATATATATATATATAATACACATGAGAGAATGTGCAGTGACTTAATATCTAACATATTCAGAGATTTGAGTAGGGGTACCGAGTGATGTCTGGGGCCAGAGTTGGATATTGTCCTAATAGCAGCTTTGTGTTGAGTAAGAATGTAAGAACGCCACTGTTATGCACTCTCACAACCCAATGTACCTTCTTGTATATAAATAAAATAAATAAATAAATAAATAAATAAATAAATAAATAAATAAATAAATAAATAGATAGATAGATAGATAGATAGATAGATAGATAGATAGATAGATAGATAGATAGATAGATAGATAGATAGATAGATAGATAGATAGATAGATAGATAGATAGATAGATAGATAGATAAATAAATAAATAAATAAATAAATAAATAAATAAATAAATAAATAAATAAATAAATAAATAAATAAATAAATAAATAAATAAATAAATAAATAAATAAATAAATAACTGATTGCCTCAGCACCGCCCGGCTCGCCTTCATATCTCCCGCCTCACGCTTCCCACGCTCCTCGACGGCGCCGACCTGAAACACGAAACCCGCTTTGCCGGTACATGTATTATGCAATTAAGAAACATGTTTTGCTTCACAGCCACTACGGGACTACACCGACGCCTCGGACCTGTGACAAATGTTAAATTAACTGGAAATTGGTTTTGTTCCTTTACAAGATATAGACTGTCCGTTTTCTTTCTATTCGGGAACTCAATAGTTCGTATCCGACCAAATTCCATCAGTCACCCTCAAGTCGTCAACACCAGCTGAGGCTGACTGTAGGGAAGGGCCAGAACTGGTACAGTCATCATTTGGAGGAGACAACCTTCACTCAAACTGCCAGTGACGTAAAGAAGAGCCGGGAGAAGTCATTCTTGCTGGGAAAAAAAACAACACTTGCCATGGCGTCGAGGAGAGCTTTACACTTCGTCTACAAGATCGGCGACAGGAAGGCCACCATCAAGTTTTACAGAGAGATTCTTGGTATGAAGGTGAGTGGCGACAGAATACATCGCCCGTCATGATGGGAGAGGGTCCTGAGCCGCCTGTCATGGGGCCCCCTGAGCTGCCTGTCATGGGGCCCCCTGAGCTGCCTGTCATGGGGCCCCCTGAGCTGCCTGTCATGGGGCCCCCTGAGCTGCCTGTCATGGGGCCCCCTGAGCTGCCTGTCATGGGGCCCCCTGAGCTGCCTGTCATGGGGCCCCCTCGAGCTGCCTGTCATGGGGCCCCCTCGAGCTGCCTGTCATGGGCCCCCCCCGAGCTGCCTGTCATGGGGCCCCCCCGAGCTGCCTGTCATGGGGCCCCCCCGAGCTGCCTGTCATGGGGCCCCCCCGAGCTGCCTGTCATGGGGCCCCCCCGAGCTGCCTGTCATGGGGCCCCCTGAGCTGCCTGTCATGGGGCCCCCTGAGCTGCCTGTCATGGGGCCCCCTGAGCTGCCTGTCATGGGGCCCCCCCAAGCTGCCTGTCATGGGGCCCCCCCGAGCTGCCTGTCATGGGGCCCCCCCGAGCTGCCTGTCAGGGGGCCCCCCCGAGCTGCCTGTCATGGGGCCCCCCCGAGCTGCCTGTCATGGGGCCCCCCCGAGCTGCCTGTCATGGGGCCCCCCCGAGCTGCCTGTCATGGGGCCCCCCCGAGCTGCCTGTCATGGGGCCCCCCCGAGCTGCCTGTCATGGGGCCCCCCCGAGCTGCCTGTCATGGGGCCCCCCCGAGCTGCCTGTCATGGGGCCCCCCCGAGCTGCCTGTCATGGGGCCCCCCCGAGCTGCCTGTCATGGGGCCCCCCCGAGCTGCCTGTCATGGGGCCCCCCCGAGCTGCCTGTCATGGGGCCCCCCCGAGCTGCCTGTCATGGGGCCCCCTGAAGCCCCCTCCTTGTCACAGGGCCATTGAAGCCCCCCCTCTGTCACGGGGGGCCCTTGAAGCCCCCCTCTGTCACGGGGGGCCCTTGAAGCCCCCCCTCTGTCACGGGGGGCCCTTGAAGCCCCCCCCTCTGTCACGGGGGGCCCTTGAAGCCCCCCCTCTGTCACGGGGGGCCCTTGAAGCCCCCCCTCTGTCACGGGGGGCCCTTGAAGCCCCCCCTCTGTCACGGGGGGCCCTTGAAGCCCCCCCTCTGTCACGGGGGGCCCTTGAAGCCCCCCCTCTGTCACGGGGGGCCCTTGAAGCCCCCCCTCTGTCACGGGGGGCCCTTGAAGCCCCCCCTCTGTCACGGGGGGCCCTTGAAGCCCCCCCTCTGTCACGGGGGGCCCTTGAAGCCCCCCCTCTGTCACGGGGGGCCCTTGAAGCCCCCCCCCCTCTGTCACGGGGGCCCTTGAAGCCCCCCCCCTCTGTCACGGGGGGCCCTTGAAGCCCCCCCCCCCTCTGTCACGGGGGGCCCTTGAAGCCCCCCCCTCTGTCACGGGGGGCCCTTGAAGCCCCCCCCTCTGTCACGGGGGGCCCTTGAAGCCCCCCCCCTCTGTCACGGGGGGCCCTTGAAGCCCCCCCTCTGTCACGGGGGGCCCTTGAAGCCCCCCCCTGTCACGGGGGCCCTTGAAACCCCGTCACATGGCCATTGAAGCCGTACAGTACTCTGAGAGAGAACTCTATCAACATCAGAGGCCCGAGACTGTTCAACACGCTTCCACTACACATAAGGGGCATAACTGGCCGACCCCTCACAGTGTTCAAGAGAGAACTGGATAAGCACCTCCAAAGGATACCTGATCAGCAAGGCTGTGACTCATACGTCAGGCTGCGAGCAGCCGCGTCCAACAGCCTGGTTGATCAGTCCGGCAACCAGGAGGCCTGGCCGACGATCGGGCCGCGGGGACGCTAAGCCCCGGAAGCACCTCAAGGTAACCTCAAGGTAAGCCCCCCTGTCACGGGGGAGAGCCCTTGAAGCCCCCCCCCTGTCATGGGGGAGGGCCCTTGAAGCCCCCCCTGTCACAGGGGGGGGCCTGAAGCCCCCCCTGTCACAGGGGGGGGCCTGAAGCCCTCCCTGTCACAGGGGGGGGGCCTGAAGCCCCCCCTGTCATGGAGGGTGCCCTCAAGCCCTCCTGTCATGGGGGGGGGGGCCCTTCAAGCCCTCCTGTCATGGGGGGGGCCCTTCAAGCCCTCGTGTCACAGGGGGAACCCTCAAGCCCTCCTGTCTTGGCTCCTGAAGCCCCCCCCCCTGTCACAGGGGGACCCCTGAAGCACCCCCTCATCACAGGGGGACCCCTGAAGCACCCCCCATCACAGGGGGACCCCTGAAGCACCCCCCCCCCCATCACAGGGGGGCCCTTGCAACCCCTCCCCCCACCCCCGTCACGGGGGTGGCCCTTGCAACTCCTATCACAGGGTGGCCCTTGCAGCCCCCCCCCCATCATGGGGGACCCTTGCAGCCCCCCCCATCACTGGGGACCCTGAAGCCCCCCCTCCCATCATGGGGGCCCCTATTAGTTGCAAGGGCCCCATGACAGTTGCATGTCTTTTGCGCTTTTCCAGTTTATTGATATGCTGCTTGAGATATGGGCACCATATAGATGCTGCTTAATAATACAGTAAGTTGATTTAATAATAATAATAATAATAATAATAATAATAATAATAATAATAATAATAATAATAGTATTTATTTACAAGAAGGCACAACAGAAAGAAACCCCCATCATGGAGGACCTGCTCAAAGCATTTCGGGCAGGTCCTTAATCTTACATATCAGGTAAGATGAAAAGGTACATCGTAGCAAAATTTTATATCAACATACACTACAGTACAATATAAACCCGACAGATGATCACACTGGTGAGGATATGTCACTTCTCCAATACCGAGCTCTCAAGGCTGTTGCAGGTTATCACTCAGGCTATGGTGCCAATGTCAGAATTGTCAAAATGATGTACCTTGCATACATCAGATCTTTAGTGGATTATGCTGCACCTCTGCTTGTTTTGATGCCTGAAAGAAAGCTTGGAGGGCTTGAAAAATTGCAGAACGAAGCCTTGAGGATAATCCTTGGATGCCCTTGTACCACAAAGATACGTAATATGAGAAAGGAACTTAATATTCTGAGCATTGTTGATCGTGTTACTGAAATTAACTGTCAAATTGGTATAAAAATGCTTAGGCTAACTCATCCTAATCCTTGCACAGAAGCCCTCCAGAATTTCTTTATTGAAGATCAGCATTGTTCCAAATGGATAACAAAAACTGGAACTCAACTCAGAATGTATCAGGTTCATGATTTGTACCAAGAGAAACAACAATGGCACTTTCCTGCACCGTGGGAGGTTACACCCTTTCCAGTTTTAATCCCTCCCTTTCCACCCAAGAAGCAAATTAGAGATCAGCCCAAGCTTCGTCTTGAGGCAAAGCTCAACGCCTTAAGCCATATTGATGCTCTGTCCACAGAGCATTCTCTCTGTCAAATCATATACACTGATGGTTCCCTACACCGCACCACGGGTGCAGCTGGAAGTGCAGTTGTTCTGACAATGGGCGATGGCTTGTACTGTACTTTGAGTAGGGAGTCCGTATAAACAACTGGGCCTCTACCCTTCAGACTGAACTATTTGCCTTGCTCCTTGCACTGAAATGTGTACAAGTCTCCAAACTTGATACATTAATTGTAAGTGACTCCTTATCATCCTTAAATGCTCTCAACTCTTTAAGACATAACTGTAACATGCTCGTGTCCGAAGCTAGACACAAATACAACAAAATTATTAAGGATGGTAACAGAGTCCATCTCATGTTGGTCTCCATCTCATGTTGGCCTCCGAATGCATGATAGAGCTGATAAGTTAGCCAAAGAATCTGCCTTTAAAGGAGCCGTTGAGTGTAACCTTGGATTGTCAATGAACAATCTGAGAGCAGCAGTACACAGAGAACTTCAACAAGATCTTGTAGATCTGAGGCAAAGTGAAATTGACACCAGTAATTCAATCTATCATCATACTATCATGCAAGAGGAGCCACACATCTATGGATCATCTATCTTATCTTGAGGGTTATCTTGAGATGATTTCGGGGCTTTTTAGTGTCCCCGCGGCCCGGTCCTCGACCAGGCCTCCACCCCCAGGAAGCAGCCCGTGACAGCTGACTAACACCCAGGTACCTATTTTACTGCTAGGTAACAGGGGCATAGGGTGAAAGAAACTCTGCCCATTGTTTCTCGCCGGCGCCTGGGATCAAACCCAGGACCACAGGATCACAAGTCCAGCGTGCTGTCCGCTCGGCCGACCGGCTCCCTCATCTATGATGTAACCCTCTTAAAAAGTTTTAGGTTGGAATTAGTGTCGCAGTATTATATGGGTATTTTAAGGTTTTGGACACACAGGAGTGTTCATATAGTGTTATATTTAAGATTTAAATAAGGTTTTGTATATTTCTGGCTGAAATTGATTAGGGTCCTGATGCCCGATTTATATACATAATAGTTATTTTGAAGTACTGTATATAGTTAAGGTATTAGTTGTTACACCCCTTGTGCTATTCAGTATGGAAATTTTGAATACTGGAATGAATATAATAATGATGTAATGTATAAATACCCTCACATTTAAATATATAGGGCAATGATCTCTAATAAACCTGTCAGATTTTCAGTACCTTGGATAACTGTCATAAAGTATATAAATGATTTTTCCATGATATTACTTAAAAAAAAGTACTTAAAAGTGTTGTTATTTACATAACCATTTATGTTCAGGCTGTGTGTGGATGTAATCCTGTCCAAGTTATCCTTGACATGCGTATATTTTCAGGTGTTGCGCCATGAGGAATTTGATGAAGGTTGCAAAGCTTCATGTAATGGGTACGTTGCTATTGTCTTCTCATATTCATACAGTGTCACACGTTATTAATTAAAAGTTGCTGTGTTTAAAATTTGGTCAGTAGCCTTTGTTTTCTTCAAATTTTCAGCTTTTCTTTTGAAAATGTCTTGTTTTATCTTAATTAGGTCCAGCCATTTTCTTTACGTGATAAATCAGTGTTACAATGCCATAAATATATAGATGATATGAGTTTAGTTTTGTTTTATTACAGTTTTATATTAATATATTCAATGTTTTTTTCCAAAGGAATTTTGCAATTTTTGTGAGACTGTTAGTAAAATGGCTTCCTCCTAATACAAATGCATATACAGTACAGTAATTTAATTAGTACTGTGTACACTTAATATGGTTTCACATTTGGGAATAGGAAACCTGTTAGGGTTATCGAGGTCCCACAATTCCAATGACTGATCTTCCCCAGACTCCAACCTACAATTGTCACTGGGTACCTATTTACTACTAGGTGAACAGAGGCATTAGGTGTAAGGAAACAACAAAATTTCTTGCCCTGCCAGGGAATTGAATTTGTGTCCAATTGGTTGTGATTCGATTACACTGACACTGTGCCTCATGTCAGCCTAATGGCATTTCACTTAAGCTTATACTGTATATATAATATTAATGACATGGTATTTACTTCATGATACTGTACTGTATTATATAATATATAGTACTGTATATGTAAATTTATTAAAAATTCTGCATGTTTTCAGGCCTTATGATGGTAAATGGAGCAAAACAATGATTGGGTATGGCTCGGAAGACAACCACTTTGTATGTGAACTTACTTACAATTACGGAATCTCTCAATACGAAATGGGTTAGTGTCAGATTTGTACTATAATGTTCGGTAAACAAAATATTGTTGATTTTAGGCATTAGAAGTGTCCATATATTTTTACAGGTTATAGTATTCCATTTTAGAGTCTGTGATGATTAAGGCTTTTGGAAACATTAAAGTAAAGTTAGCATAAATCAATCTTGCTTAATTTTAAAACTACATGTACTTCATTGATTGTTCATTAGCAAAGTTGAAAAGTGCTTACTTTATGTAATATCATGTCACCTTTTTAAGGGTTTTCTGCCCTGTCTACCTCACCTCCCTCATCAGTAGGATCAATTACCATAATCTACTTGACATTTTTTTTTTTATTTTTTAAGTCGGAGAATGGTGTTTGGATACAAAATACGTTTCCCTCATTAGATTAGAACAAACTAAAGTCCATCTTTGGCTAACTACTAACAAACTCACCTTTAACATTGGCAAAACGTTCTATATTTTGTTTGTTAATAAATCCTCAGATCTAATTAATCTAAGAATTAACAATATCCAAATTAATAACAAAGTAGATGGTAAATTCCTTGATATTCTCATTGATAATAAGCTGAATTTCCAGGATTACATTCAAAATATAGCTAAAAAACTTTTCTGAAACAGTTGGCATTCTTTTTCTAAAATCAGATATTATGTACTTGCCCTGCACTGGTAACGCGCTCTATTACTCTCTAATCTACCCTCATCTCAATTATGATATCTGTGCTTAGGGTTCTACTGCCCAAAATTATCTATGTCCTCTAATTACTCGATACAAATTTGCTATTAGAACAATAACAAACTCTGGCCCCAGACAGCACTCAGCCCCCTTTATATCCTCGAATACGTCGTATTTTAACATTTTCACTCGGTGATGCTGCAGTATGACGTAAAAAATTTAGTAGATGGACGTGTGGGAATGACACATCGGTGCGTCAAAAATTAAAAAAGTTCAGCCTGCTTTTGGCTTGGCTGCAGGTGGGAAGCGCCGCGGTTTTGGACATCATATGCATATACTCCTATAGGGAATTTCATTGTGAACACATTGACACCAAAATGAAGACTCTGCCCTTTCTTCAGGGGTAGAGGGTATGGAGAACTGCTCAGCCCTAGGTCTTGGTTTGGAGGATTCCGGGGCTGGGGAGGAGTTGACCTTGCGGGGCTTGGGGGCCCCTCTTTGACCCCATTTGGGTGTTGGTACCCTCTTTGCAGGGCTTGTTTTTGCAGGGGGGGGGGTTCTTACAACCCCTTCCCTGTACGAGTATGACTTTGGGTTGGCTCTTTCCTGGGTTTGGTTCCAGGTTCCCTTGGGTTCCTCGGCTCCTCCTTTCCAGAGGATTTCTGCCTTTCGTATCTTGCCTAAGAAGGTTTGGGATGCGCTTGGTGCTTACCTCCTGCAAGACCCGGATTCTGCCTCTGTGATGGATCCGTCCTCATTTGACTTTGGTTCTTCTTCCCTGTATTGGGTGCATTTGGAGGTTCCGGAGTGTTCCTGGCTGGCAGACTGCCCTTTCTTTTCATTGGGGGCGTGGCATGGGTTTTGTCAGACGCGCATGCTTGATTGGCGAGAAACTTCTACCGTACTGCAGGTTTACCTGGGGTGGGGGCGAGTTTGAGTGCCTTAATCCATGCTTGTTTGCCCCTATGCTTCCTTGGGATGTTGGCCTTATGCATCTGTACATGCAGGTTCCTTCCCATTTGGTGTCCGCGGTCTCTGAGGATTTGCGTGCCTGTGGGCATTTGGCTTCGGTCTTGCACTAATTTTTCCTTCTTGAGCTGTCTTTGGCGTGGCTTGAGGAGGATGTGGAGGCGTTGAGTGCCGGGTGTTGATATAACACACATCAGCCTGTTAGCTCCAGGGAGCCTCTGGGGCTTGATCCAGAAAATGACGTTTCATTACATTCAACACTGGTTTTTTGTCAATGATAGTCCATTCAAAATTTTAAATGGCATAAAACTTTCCTAGCAGTAACATGAAGACAAAAGCATATGGTGCACAAGGACAACCATAAACAATACCAGGTCCAGTATCTCTAACAACACCAGGTCCTCTCATCTCATTTTTTTTCTTGCAATGTATCTGTTATCATTTTATTAATTCTGCTAGAATTTACTTACTTGAAATTATCTTAGATTAAGGACCTGCCCGAAACGCTGCGCGTACTAGTGGCTTTACAAGATTGTAAATACTTTGCTATGTATTCTCTCAAACCCAATGTACCTTCTTGTATATAAATAAATAAATAAATAAAACGGTAAATATTTCTTAAAAAACAACAAAATAGGCACATTAAATACATCAATTATATTACAGTACTATAATTCATTTCAAAGTACAGCATTGTTAAATTATCTACTAGTTTTTGCATTATATATACTTGGATTGGGATATGATAAATATTTTTAATGTATATTTTGGTTGAAAAACATGTCCACCAGCTTGGTCAGATATCTTGCTATGGAAATTTCCAGTTCAACTGACATTCCAAATATAGAACATTCTGTTCTAATGAGCATACATATAATGTTGTTCAACCTAATATTCCTGGATATTTTTTACTGTATGACAAAATTGATCTCACTTTTTTTTTTATAGGGAATGACTTTTTGGGAATGTACATTGAGTCTTCTGAGTGCGTGGAGAGAGCCAAAACCAATGGGTGGCCAGTAAAAAAAGAAGGGGAGCATAGTGTATTAGAAGCTCCAGGGGGTTACAAGTTTTTCATCATTAACAAACCTCAACCAAAGGACAGAGGTGAGTCAGACTAATCCTTTTTTTTTTACTACATGCAGGCATTTATACTATATTCTCAGATGTCTTATTCCCATTCTCATCATATCCATAGGCAATATATGTGCAGAAATATATTGAGCTTATATGTGAGCTTTTCCCCACCATCTGGGGGGAAAGACCCCGCACCGTCCAGGGGAAAGACCCCGCACCGTCCAGGGGAAAGACCCCGCACCGTCCGGGGGAAAGACCCCGCACCGTCCGGGGGAAAGACCCCCGCACCGTCCGGGGGGAAAGACCCCCTGCACTGTCCGGGGGGAAAGGACCCCGCACCGTCCGGGGGGAAAGGACCCCGCACCGTCCGGGGGGAAAGGACCCCGCACCGTCCGGGGGGAAAGGACCCCGCACCGTCCGGGGGGAAAGGACCCCGCACCGTCCGGGGGGAAAGGACCCCGCACCGTCCGGGGGGAAAGGACCCCGCACCGTCCGGGGGGAAAGGACCCCGCACCGTCCGGGGGGAAAGGACCCCGCACCGTCCGGGGGAAAGGACCCCGCACCGTCCGGGGGGAAAGGACCCCGCACCGTCCGGGGGGAAAGGACCCCGCACCGTCCGGGGGAAAGGACCCCGCACCGTCCGGGGGGAAAGGACCCCGCACCGTCCGGGGGGAAAGGACCCCGCACCGTCCGGGGGGAAAGGACCCCGCACCGTCCGGGGTGAAAGACCCCTTACCATCCAGGGGGGGAAAGACCCCGCACCGTCCGTTGGGGGGAAAGACCCCGCACCGTCCGGGGGGGGGGAAAGACCCCGCACCGTCCGGGGGGGGGGAAAGACCCCGCACCGTCTGGGGAGGGGGAAAACCCCGCACCGTCCGGGGGGGGGGGGGTTATCTTGAATTGATTTCAGGGCTTTAGTGTCCCCGCGGCCCGGTCCTTGACCAGGCCTCCACCCCCAGGAAGCAGCCCATGACAGCTGACTAACACCCAGGTACCTATTTACTGCTAGGTAACAGGGGCATTCAGGGTGAAAGAAACTTTGCCCATTTGTTTCTGCCTCGTGCGGGAATCGAACCCGCGCCACAGAATTACGAGTCCTGTGCGCTATCCACCAGGCTACAAGGCCGCTAAAAGGTCTTTCCTTTTTAAAAGAAAAGGTCTTTCCCCCCCCTTTTGAGGGGGGGGAAAGACCCCACACCGTCCGGGGGGAAAAGACCCGCAACGTCTGGGGAAAAAAGATGCCCTCCGCCTGGCTGAGATGCGCTCTGGTTCAGGAGGCTGGGGTCGTTCTTTCCCTTACTGAGGTGGTTCTTCTCCGGCCCCTAACCACGGCAGTCTCCAGGTTTGGAGTCCCTGTGCCTTCTTTTATCAACTTCGAGGTAAACTCCGGAGCTGGAGCCCCTAAAACAGTTTGTTGTTGCCTTTAACCTTGTTCTGACAATTCCTGTGACAGCACTGGAACTAGTCGTATTGGCATTTGTGTTTCCATGGGAGACTTTTGGTGCCATGGAGAGGGGGAACCTGCTGCATGAGTGACAGCTTCTCCCCGGTATCAGCCCACCCTGGCTTTGCGCTTTGGAGAGGCCACTCCAGACCGACAACCAGAGTGTAACTCCATAGTCACCTGAGACTGATAGATGCCTACTACTACATGAAAAAGAATGGAAGGCCAGGTCCCTAATTATCACAGTAAAATACCAACATACAATGGTGGGTTTCAAAACTCCCTTTTTAGAGTCTGATTTTTCAGGTGATAAGAGTGTGATACTTGTGCTAAGTGGCAGACAAACGCATAAAGTGTTCAAGCTGCAATAGAGCATCTAGTTATTGTTGGAAGCTATATAAGTGGCAAAAGGAGCAACTATAAATGGCAAAAGGAGCTACTACTAGTGTGTAGTATAGAGTGCATTTTATATGGCACTAAACACACTTAATGCAACAACCATCATAGAAAATTAAATAAGTATTATATTTACTGTGTGTGTGTGTGTGTGTGTGTGTGTGTGTAATTACCTAAGTGTAATTACCTAAGTGTAGTTACAGGATGAGAGCTACGCTCGTGGTGTCCCGTCTTCCCAGCACTCTTTGTCATATAACGCTTTGAAACTACTGACGGTCTTGGCCTCCGCCACCTTCTCACTTAACTTGTTCCAACCGTCTACCACTCTATTTGCGAAGGTGAATTTTCTTATATTTCTTCGGCATCTGTGTTTAGCTAGTTTAAATCTATGACCTCTTGTTCTTGAAGTGCCAGGTCTCAGGAACTCTTCCCTGTCGATTTTATCAATTCCTGTTACTATTTTGTATGTAGTGATCATATCACCTCTTTTTCTTCTGTCTTCTAGTTTTGGCATGTTTAATGCTTCCAACCTCTCCTCGTAGCTCTTGCCCTTCAGTTCTGGGAGCCACTTCGTAGCATGTCTTTGCACCTTTTCCAGTTTGTTGATGTGCTTCTTAAGATATGGGCACCACACAACAACTGCATATTCTAGCTTTGGCCTAACAAAAGTCATGAACAATTTCTTTAGTATATCGCCATCCATGTATTTAAATGCAATTCTGAAGTTAGAAAGCATCGCATAGGCTCCTTGCACAATATTCTTTATGTGGTCCTCAGGTGATAGTTTTCTATCTAGAACCACCCCTAGATCTCTTTCTTTATCAGAATTCTTTAAAGATTTCTCACATAATATATATAGGTTGTATGGGGTCTATGTTCTCCTATTCCACATTCCATAACATGACATTTATTAACATTAAATTCCATTTGCCAGGTGGTGCTCCATATACTTATTTTGTCCAGGTCTTCTTGAAGGGCATGACAATCATCTAAATTTCTTATCCTTCCTATTATCTTAGCATCATCAGCAAACATGTTCATATAATTCTGTATACCAACTGGTAGATCATTTATGTACACAATAAACATCACTGGTGCAAGAACTGAACCCTGTGGTACTCCACTTGTGACATTTCTCCATTCCAATACATTGCCTCTGATTACTGCCCTCATTTTTCTATCAGTCAGAAAATTTTTCATCCATGATAGAAGCTTACCTGTCACCCCTCCAATATTTTCCAGTTTCCAGAACAACCTCATATGCGGAACTCTGTCGAAAGCCTTTTTTAGGTCCAGATAGATGCAGTCAACCCAACCATCTCTTTCCTGTAATATCTCTGTGGCTCGATCATAGAAACTGAGTAAATTCGATACACAGGATCTTCCAGATCGAAAACCATACTGTCTGTCTGATATTATATCATTTCTCTCCAGGTGTTTTACCCATTTAGTTTTGATTAGCTTTTCCAATACTTTCACTATTACACTTGTCAATGATACAGGTCTATAATTGAGGGGGTCTTCCCTGCTGCCACTTTTGTAGATTGGAACTATGTTAGCCTGTTTCCACACGTCTGCTACGATTCCTGTACACAGGGATGCCTGAAAGATCAGGTGAAGTGGAATGCTGAGCTCAGATGCACATTCTCTCAGAACCCATGGTGAAACGCCATCTGGGCCAGCTGCTTTGTTCTTACTGAGCTCCTTTAGCATATTTTCCACTTCATCTCTAGACACCTCTATCCGCTCTATGTTGTTCTCTGGAATTCTTATTGTGTCTGGTTCTCTGAAGATTTCATTTTGTACAAACACACTTTGGAACTTTTCATTTAATGTTTCACACATTTCCTTTTCATTTTCCGTGAATCTGTTTCCCATTTTCAACCTCTGGATATTATCCTTTACCTGCAATTTGTTGTTTATGAATTTGAAGAATAGGCCCGGTTCTGTTTTACATTTATCTGCTATCCCTTTTTCAAAATTTCTTTCTGCCTCTCTCCTGTGTGTGTGTGTGTGTGTGTGTGTGTGTGTGTGTGTGTGTGTGTGTGTGTGTGTGTGTGTGTGTGTGTGTGTGTGTGTGTGTGTGTGTGTGTGTGTGTGAGTGAGTGAGTGAGTGAGTGAGTGAGTGAGTGAAATGAAATTAAATATGCGAAGAAGCTCGAATGGTCCCCAAGCCAATATGCAACTGAAAACTCCTCCCCCGCAGAAGGATTCAAACTTGGACTGTCAGGGCTCCATGAACCCCGGCGTATCCAGTACTATACCAAATAGACCAATCTGACTACAAAAAAGGTTGAAAGTCATGAGACTTTTACCCAACCCCTGACAGCACTTGATGGTCTTCAGGGTACAGATATTTCATCAAATTGCCTCGCTGTTGAGACCACGTGAGTAACATAAACGCGAAGAAGCTTAAATGGTCCTGAAGTCAATATGCAACCGAAAACTCCTCACCCTTGCATGGAAAATATCTTGTCGTTACTGGGCACATTCTCTGATGATCTCTGCAGTAAACCAGCATTGAATGTAATGAAACGCTATTTTCTGGGTGTGACCCGGAGGCTCCCCGGAGCTATCCAGGCTGATATGGATATACAGTGGTGCTTTGGTTAACGAATTTAATCCGTTCCGAAACACTCGTCTTGCGAAACAATGACGACACTGTCATCGGAGGCATCTGAGAATGAACGGGAACGCTAGGAAGCACCACGTTGTTTTCTCGTTAACTACGCGGAAGCTCGTCAATCGAGACAAATTTTCTGAGTGTGTCTCGCTCATTACCCCGAAGTGCTTGTAGATGGAGCCGCTTGTCACCCGAGTTTCCACTGTATTAGACTTTGGCATCAGTCAATGTGAATGGAGTGCTAGGCCTTCTGGGGACCACGAGCCAGAACCTGGCCCCCTCAGGCACGAGGAGCAATGGCCTCTAGAAATGCACATGTGGTTATGGAATATTCTATGTCTACCATCAACCGGGTCAGGCACCCAGAAAGGAAAGCTCCCCAAAACAAACCCCTGCACAACCCCCTCATTCCTGGGAGGGAAAAAGGGGAGCCCCAGACCGTGGCTGGGGCTCTCGGGAGCCACGTTCGACGAGTCAGCATCAACCATTCATTCCTTGGACAGGGCAATGAACCGAGAGCCATTCAACAGGACGTTGGACCCCCCCCCCCAAAAGTGAACCACCAGGAGAGCTAAACCTGTAGAACTTGGCAGACAAGTCATCCGATGCGACCAGCCCCAAAGAGTCAAGGACCACATCGAACCCCCAGAGTTCAGGCAATGAACCAACAGGGAGCAGTCCGAATGGAGCCTGATCATTGATCCTCGAGCGACACGAACACTCCAAAGCCACATCCACACCGCCACGAAATAATCCCGTACCGTGCAGTGGGCCCGACGAAAGGATGTCTGGCCTGGTGAGCACTAGTTACAAAGCCCCAGCCAAGAGCCGCACATCCATGAACACATCGAGCAAGGGCTCGGGTTGGCGCCAAGGCACTGAACCCCAAAAAAACCGAAGAGGAAGCCAGCAACACAGCAGTCGATGCAAGGCCCCTAGAGGCCGGACCCAGCGATCGCGAGAGACGTGGAAGGGACTGCCCTGAAGGAACCAGAACAGCTGACGAAGCCAAACCCGACCAGGCGGGTAGACCATCATTGCAAAATTCAGGCTGTTCCTGAACCTAAGAGGGAACCAGATAGGACTTCTGCCAGTTCATCAGGAACCTGAACCCGGCGAGCTGGGAAAGAACCAAGCCCCTGGTGAGCAAACACGCGGATTGGCTGGGAGCCCACACCAGCCAGTCGTCAAGGTAGGCCAGCACCCGAACACCTAACAGATGCAAACGCGCCACCAAGACCTGGGTAAGGCGTGTGAACACGTGAGGTGCCAAGTTCAAACCATATGGAAGGCAACGAAAGGGGTAACTGATACATCCCACCACAAAACTGAGCCAGTCCCTAAACCCTGGATGAATTGGGATGTGCCAATATGCGTCCCTGAGATCCAGGGACACCATCCAAGCTCCTAGCTCCAAACGAAACCAGGCCTGGGACAGAGTAGTCATCCGAAATGAGGGGCAATAGACCCAGGGATTCAGATGGGACAAGTCCCCTTGTTGACCAGATACCTCCTTGCCCACAACACTGGCGTATGTGGCACTGTGAAGGCCCACAGGAAGGAAATACCAGTGTTTGGCATGGGTATAGCAGTGGGTGACTGCCAGCTGTGCAAGTGTGACAATATGCTCTCAGTGCGGTAGAGGGACAGACGCGATGTGAATATGCTGACTACGATTCACACCGGTGCCATGTTGGACAGTGGCAAAGTCCACTTTCAAACGCGCTTCCCCATTTATAAAAGTATCCACTCAATTTAACGGCCTATATGGGGCTGTACCCTTGTCGTTATTTCCGGAGCTCCGTTATTTCCAAAGTTAAGTCGGGTCAGGTAATTATTCAAGTAACATTCAGGTAGGATATATTTTGTACTGTATAACTAAAATTAAATAAAGTTCATTGTGTAATTGTGTTACAATTTAGTGCCACGCTGACGATTAAGTCAGCTGGTGGCTGCTGCATGGATGATGTGTGAACACGCTCTGATCAAGTCCAGATGGGTGGGAAAAAATTGGTTCATTCCTTTGTATTGCAAAATATTTCATGTATCAATCAGTGATTGTTAATATTTTCTCAATAAAATTTTAGAGATGTGTTTTGTTTTACCCTGAACAGTGCAGGTAATGTATTTTTAACGTTATGACACAGGCTGTGGCGGCCTGGCCATAACAATGGCGATCGAGCTTTGTCTCTGAGAGCTAGCCAAGACGAAATATTTTGAGCTCACCTTTTCTCTGCTAATGATAGAATATACATTTGCAGAGATTAATATGTCGCTTTCGTTGAAAAAAAAAAATTAATATGTTGAAATACTGTAATAAAATTGGTAAATTGACTTACTTTTAATGAAGCTGAAGATTACGAAGCTGTGAAGATTACGTTATCCTCTGCAGCGCTTGTTTTATATTGTTCAGTACTGTATACTTGGTACATACAGTATGTACACTTATTTTCAGGCATTCACTTCACACAACAGCTAGCCTTACTACTAATTCACATAAGTTCTAATTTTAATTCACAATTGAAAATTATTTCAACTGTATATTTACACTGTACAGTATCTTTTTGTCAAGGCTTAAATAATCATTAACACTTACAATACTGTACTCTATCAACACCTTTTACACTAATTTATATACCTTTCAATTATATTTTATATTGTTAGTGGAGGCTACATGACTTTTGATGGGAATTTAGCATCAGCGGGTGCAACATGGCTTGCAGAGCATTCGTTGCTGACGGATGCTCCATGACTTGTTGATGGGAATTCAGCATCGGCGGGTGCAGCATATTTTGCAGAGCATTCGTTGCCAGCGGAGGCTGCACAACTTATCGATGGGAATCCAGCATCGGCGGGTGCAGCATAACTTGCAGAGCATTCGTTGCCAGCGGAGGCTGCACAACTTATCGATGGGAATCCAGCATCGGCGGGTGCAGCATAACTTGCAGAGCATTCGTTGCCGGCGGAGGCTGCACGACTTGTTGATGGGAATTCAGCATCGGCGGGTGCAGCATAGCTTGCAGAGCATTCGTTGCTGGCGGAGGCTGCACAACTCGTCAATGGGAATTCGGCATCGGCGGGTGCAGCATAGCTTGCAGAGCATTTGTTGCCGGCAGAGGCTGCATGACTTGTTGATGGGAATTCAGCATCGGCGGGTGCAGCATGGCTTGTAGGGCACTCGTTGCCAGTGGATGCTGCATGACTTGTTGAATTCCCAGTAGGTGCTCTCACGAACCGTTGAAATCATGAATTTATCTATTTTTGTCTGAATCTGATTTTCTCTGGCTAATATTCTGAGACATTGCTCTCAGCCGCGCGAGTTCACAGTAAACAATGCGGTCACATGGCCAGGCGCAGTACATTCTAGGTCCGTGGGAAAAAAATACCTTTTGCCTATACTATAAAAGGTATTTAATAAGAAAATGAAGAATTTTTCTTAATAACAATTGTTTTAAAATATTTTATTAATAATAATTTAGAATTTTCTTCATAAAACTGAATCATTTTAAAAGAAAGTTAAGATTTAATATACCACTCTGGATGATCGAGGTCGGTGGCCTGGTCGCCATGTGAGGGGCTGCCGATGCCAAAACAAACCCAATACCGACCGTCGGTAATATCAACCACCAGACCGGTATACGAGGCTCCAGATACCGATCTCCCAAACCGGTCATTATTACCGGCAGATCGGTATAAAAGAGGTCGTTAAATTGAGTGGATACTGCAGTCTGTGTGATAGACATAAATGTGACATGATGCTCAGTGCAGTGGAGTGCGTGCGCAAGTCTGTGAAGTGAACAAAGTTTTTTTCACCTAATAGATGTCGCAGTGCTCAACTGCTTCAATATGTACCTGGTAAAATCTGGCAGGAAATCACCAATATAGACATTCAGTGTTGGTGTTGAGTCACAACTGCTAGTAAAATATGGCAAGGAGAGCTATGTTGCACCTCGCGGGGTGCAAGCAACAATGCCACACGCAGCTCCAGACAGACTGAGGGGTAACGAGATGTTCAGTGTCTACATGCTCGGGCATATGCCAGGCACAGCACCACGGGAGAAGGGTAAACGTGCCTGTATAGTATGCAGGAACACTACCCAAAGAGAACAAAAGGGAAGTTGCATCAGCACCTGGTTTGTGGAGTGCAAGAATCCACTATGCCCCGTTGGCTGTTTCACAGCATATCACACACTCGTGGAGTTCTTAATGTGTTTATGTTGTGTGTATGTAGTGTGTGATGCTGTATAGTGTATAAATAGATTGTAAATATAAATAAATTAGCATGATACATTGGAAATATGTGCAGGATATGTGTACACATGTCATGCACGTAACACAGTGTCTTCGGACAGTACAGATGTTCTACTGCCATAATATAGTGTACATGATCATTATACATAGGATTGGCACGAAAAAACAAATAAAATATATTTAGAACTGCGCGCAAAAAATGAACAAAAATATATTCGTGGCAACTCGCACATCTTGAGCTGGGCGCCCTACTGGCCCCGGGGGGCATACGCCACGGGTGACTCGGGAATGATGACTCGCAGGGGAACTTGCGGACCCCATAGCAGCCAAAGTAAGTACAATTTCGAGTTTTTGTTAATACAGTATATCCATACTCAGGGAAGGGTTTTTGACACTAAAAAAAAAAAATCCAGAGAATTTATTTCCTGCGCACAGGGGGGGGGGGGTTCCGTATTTGGAAGGCGAGCAGCACAGTGGTTAAATTACTTTACATTATTTATATTATATTTCCTTTACTCGTTTATATAATTCCCTCTAATGAGGACTTTATTTGAATCATAATTCATCTATTGGTATAATTTATAGTTGTTTTTATGCTGATTTTGACCTTGGCAGATCCAGTACAGCAAATAGTATTGGGAAGCAGTAATTTAGAAAAGTCAATACACTATTGGAAAGACTTGCTAGGGCTGACTATGTTCAAGAAAACGGACACTGCAGCAACGTTTGGATACAGTGACAGTCAGGCCAAGCTAATTCTGCAAGACATTGGTAAGTAATATATTTTCTTAATACAACTGAATTATTCCTTTAAGTTTACCTTATGAATTAAATGCATTACTAGGCAAGCTTAGTAATCATAAAATTAGATTAGTTTTGCATTTACAGTGCTTTAAACTGAAGTCATTGGTTCTTTCTGTACTGGCCTTTTCAGTAGCTCCCTGAAATTTATGGCACTGGTATTGAATGAATACCCTTTCAGTTAGTTTAATTCATTATGCACCCCATACCCATCCTGTGGGCTGTTACAATCCTGGATCCAAAAGGTTAACAGAGGCTCAGGGCTCGGGGACTGAAGCCCAAAATTCAGTTAGCTAAGCAAGTTAGTCTTGATGAGCTAGTTACAAAATTCAATGCACATAGTCACATCAACAATGGACTTGAGACCGACTACAAGTACAGTTTCTAAATTAGGTCCCCGTCAGGGGGTCTAATGGCTAAGTGGACAGTACTCGGGATTCGTAGTCTTAAGGGTCCGGGTTTGATCCCCGGCAGAGGCAGAAACAAATGGGCAGTTTCTTTCACCATAATGCCCCTATTCACCTAGCAGCAAATAGGTACAGTGGAACCTCGTGTGACGAGCACCTCAATTTACAAGCATTTTGAATAACGAGTGTGTGCCGATCGCTGACTATTTGTCTTGATTGGCAAGCTCTCGTTTGATTAACGAGAAAACCACATGGTGCGTTTCTGCTGCTTCTCACACATTCTCGGACGCCTCCGACGATGCAAATAAAATATTTTTTTTTTTTTTTTTTTTTTAAAGATGCTAATGATGCTGGGATGTAAAGGGGTGACTGCTGTGATGTTGCAAAGCATTGACTTATTTTTGTAGAGAAAGAAAAAATGATAATTTTGAAAAATAGAACAAATGTCAAAAAGGTTTGTTCAGTGTTTGTCAGGTAGGCTGCTCCATGTTTCTTAAAAAAAAAAAAAACGAAAAATACAAAAAAAAAAAATTGAAAAAATTGAAAAACGGACAAATGCCATAAAGGTTCGTTTAGTGTTTGTCGGGTAGGCTGCTCCATTATTAATAAATAAATGAAAAATACAAAACAAATTGAACATATTTGAAACAAAGAAAAGATTGTCATTATGGAGCATCCTACCCGACAAACACTGAACGGACTTTTATGGCATTTGTCCATTTTTAAATTTTTTCAATTTTTTTTTTTTTTTTTGTCAAGAAACATGGAGCAGCCTACCTGACAAACACCGAACGAACCTTTTGCTATAGAAAAAAATGAAAAAAAATTAACAAATTTGAAGAAAGAAAAATGTCATGAAGATTTGTTCAGTGTATGTAAAGCAGGCTGCTCCATTATTTAAATCATCGAATATCATATTGATGTTTTTCGGTGGTAGAACGGATTAATTTGATTTCCATTATTTTAAATGGGGAAATTTGTTTTGAAAGATGAGTTTCATATAACGAGCTCGGTGCCGGAACGGATTAAATTCGTTATTCGAGGTTCCACTGTACCTGGGAGTTACAGCTGCTATGGGCTGCTTCCTGGGAATGTGTGTGTGTGAAAATTAGGATTAAGGACTTGCCCAAAATGCTGTGTGTGCTAGTGGCTGTACAAGAATGTAAGAACTCTTGTATATATAAATAAAAAAAAAAATATAAGCAACTGACATATGTGGAGAGTTAGTGTCACAATTCATATGTTTAACCTGCACACAGCCTACTCATCTAGTGGGCAAAGGTGGATAGGTTACAATCACTTAGTTACTACCTACTGTTAGCAAACTGGGGATATTTGGCCAAAATATTTGGTAGCAGATCATTTTGAATTAAATATTTACACATCCCCTGAACATTTGTTATAGAATTGTCTCTGAATTCACTTATCTTTTTACACTCCATCACATGGTGACGAAAAGTGTGCGAATAATTTTTTTACACAGTTTACATGTGTCAATAAAACCCTTTGACTTTTTGTGACTTATCAGGACCCAAGACCAGAATCTAGCTCCTTCAAAAAATTAGAGAACAGCCTATAAAGTCAAAGGTAAAATGAAACAAATTGCTTGTGAATTGGAAAAGAATGAGATAAGAAAGCAAGGCAAATGATAGTACTAGGCAGATAAAGAAAACCCTTGCTCCAACTGGCCTGGGTGCTACCAGGTGGGAGCCCATGTCACCCAGGGTTCTGGTCAGCTACCCTCTCCTGCTGGAACCATGTTTCCTGCCTCTCAGCCAAGTGGTTTTGACATTCCTTTGAGACAATAGTCCTGTGGTTGGATCTTGCATTATACAGTATATTTGATCACTTCATCAGTGTTTATGGCAACCACCTTGTCCTCAAAGCTGTACTGTATGAGCTCATTTATCCGGATTCCACTTAACCAGACATTTGTTACCCAAAATTGCATCCGGAAAATTTTATGACAAAACTTCGCAATATCTTGATAGTAATCCAGATAACCAGAGGTTTGGCTGGATACTGCAGACAGATAGAGAGTTTAACCCTTAAATGGCGCATTGTTATATACCATTTGACACCCACAGGCGCATACAAAAAAAAAAAAAAAAAAAAAAAAAAAATTCTTCCTGACCTGTTAATTTGTGTTCACTGATCATGTGAAAAATAATAAAAAAATCGTAAGTGGCATATATTGCCCGCTATAGGGCGGGGAAGTCTGGCAAAAAACAGGCGCTGACTCAGCGTGCGTCCCAGGCGGTCTGTTGCTCGCCAGCAGTCAGGCCGGTGTTGCCACAAAGAGATAATTACCTAATTATTTCAAAGTCTCTGATTGATTTTTCATAGTTTTTTTTGCTGTAATATTATTCAATAGTGTGTAGTGTGATATATTTATATAATAAAATGAGTGAATCATCGCTGTACTCAAAAATATGGTGTGCATATTGTTGATTCAATTATGTTCATCAAACAGTGAACAAATACTTTGTCGGTTATTACACTGTATACACAGGTTATATATAAGTATCTGCATGTTTTGTTCACCATAACGAACCACTAAGTTGGTATTATTAGTCAAAAAGCATCGAGGAATGACCACCACTCACGAGTGGTGAAGGTGGTGGAGGCCAAGACCGTCAGTAGTTTCAAAGCGTTATATGACAAAGAGTGCTGGGAAGACGGGACACCACGAGCGTAGCTCTCATCCTGTAACTACACTTAGGTAATTATAAAAAAAATTACACACCAGCCAGCCACTCGCTGCCACTCACTCCCTCAACACCTCACTCGCCCACATTCTCCTCCCACAATACTGTTTTTGCTTTTATTCACTATATACAGACTCTATATATAAGTATCTACATTCGTGTTCACCATAACAAACCACTAAGTTGGTATGCTGAGTGGCAGTGGTAGCCTGCCACTGGCTGCCACTCCCTCCCTCCCTCACTTCACCTGACTTGCCACCATTCTCCTCCCATCATACTGTTTTTGCTTTTATATACAGATGTTATATATAAGTATTTACATGTTTTGTTCACCATAACTGTACATCTAAGCTTGTATGGTGAGTAAAGGCACAAAGACGTAGCTACTCACACAATCAGCTGATGGCTACCGACTTCAAGGCCAGTTGCACTAATATTTCTCTTCCAACAATACTGTTTGTGGTGTTATTACACTATATACACACATTATATATAAATATCTACCTGTTTTATTCACCATACTTATACAAGTAAACTGGTATGGTGCCCAAAGACATCATGGTCACCAGTAAACATGATATGTCGTGCAGACGACGCCACCTCCGTCACCAAAATGGCGGCTCCCAACCTCCTACACTTGCTGTTTATACCCTCTATACACACGTTATATACAAGTATCTACATTTGTGTTCACCATAGCTAACCACTAAACTGGTATGGTGAGTGCAGTCAATAAAAGAAGCCACACACAGTCAGAAGACAACACCACTACCCTCCCCTCCCATAGCATTACTCCTCCCTCCATGGAGCACAGCGCTAAATATCACCACAATCCTGCTATTATCAGAACCCTGGTCAGTTTTATCACAGTCAGGGGTCTTCTGTAATAATATCATCGCTACATAATAGCATGAACAAGTATATTATGGCATTTTTAGGCGATGCTGTGGTCACAAGCTGAACAGCAGTGCTGTGAGCTCATGCTGCGTGCGTCAGGCTTGGTAGCTCACTCAATACTGAGGCCCCTCACACCCAGGAATTTGGCCCGCGATTTAAAAAAAAAAATGGCGTCAGTTTACAAGAGCCCTGATGAAGGTGTGGTGAACCCTGTGTATCCACGGGCCGTTTAAATCTTGCGTAGTACTCCAAAGCATCATATGATGTGATGTGCAATTTAAGGGTTAAATAAAGTCTGGATAACTTTTTGCCATCTCCATATTTGAACAGAAATCCCCCCCCCCCCAAAAAAAAAAAAAATAAAAAATTTTGCCAGATACTGCAGACAAGCGTTAGACCATAAGGTGTTGATCCCGTATAGCTGTGGCTTGAGGCGCAGATTGTGGGAAGTGCTGGGGTGGGTGGTTTCAGGATAGAGGTGTCGGGAGGGACTGTAGAGGAGGGAGAGAGGGAGGGAGGGATGAGAGGCATGTGGAGGGGCCTCTGCGCCTATGATCTGTTTTGTATAGAATAGTCAATAATTATTTTTAGAACAATTTATCATAACAAAAACTAAAGAAATATTATCTCATATTATAACAAATAGCCTAACATCAGATGTTATATTATAACATATCGGATGTTCACCAGGTTGGCGCATGTAGTGGTTTGTTACCTTCAGGTGTTAGTTCACTTCTTGGCCTCCCTCAACAACTACCTCCTTGAGGTTACCTTGAGGTGCTTCCGGGGCTTAGCGTCCCCGCGGCCCGGTCGTCGACCAGGCCTCCTGGTTGCTGGACTGATCAACCAGGCTGTTGGACGCGGCTGCTCGCAGCCTGACGTATGAGTCACAGCCTGGTTGATCAGGTATCCTTTGGAGGTGCTTATCCAGTTCTCTCTTGAACACTGTGAGGGGTCGGCCAGTTATGCCCCTTATGTGTAGCAACCTCAACTAGGGTCCAGCCGGCCGAGCGGACAGCATGCTGGACACGTGATCCTGTGGTTCCGGGTTCGACTCCGGGTGCCGGCGAGAAACGATGGGCAGAGTTTCTTTAACCCTATGCCCCTAGAAGTAAATAGGTACCTGGGAATTAGTCAGATGTTACGGGCTGCTTTCTGGGGGTGGAGGCCTGGTTGAGGACCGGGCCGTGGGGACACTAAAGCCTCGAATTCAACTCAAGATAACTGGTTTGGGCTCCCACCAGTCTGTGTCTCTGCAAGCCAGGAATCTGGTTGTTTCCCAGCTTGCTAGGTTGGGGTTTCTGGTGAATTAGTGAAAGTCCTATTTCGTTCTGTTGCAGGTTTGAACCTGTTAGGGATTGGTTTTGGTTACTCGGTCATCTTCCCTTTCCCTTGCACCTGCAGCCTTGCTTCACTTGGACCCCGTATCTTTGACTGGTGGTGGAAAGTTGCTGGTTCATTCTTGTTGACTCAAGTGACTATGCAGGAATCTGAACGTTGCCTGCATTGTGTAAAAAAATTTAGAAATAATTTTCTATGGTTTTGTCCTTTTGCTGTGGACTCCTTCAATGGCTTTTGATTTACAAGTTTCCTCTTCAGGCTTTTTCAGGTTCTGTCTGGTGGCACTTTCCATCTCTTGCACTCAACCTCTTTCTGGACACCTCGGCCAAGGGCTGGGGCTCTGTGACCAGTACTTACCTGGCCATTCAGGACCATTTGATGGGTCCATTGTGTCAGGTATGCAGTACATTGTGCAAATTACTGCAGTTTACCACCTTTTGTGATTGCTTCTTCTCCAGGCACGCTCTGTGATCCAGCTCTGCTCTAACTCCTCCCTGGTGATTCATTGTCTAAATCAAGGGGGTCACTTAAGTCTTTTTCTTTGTGAGACTGCATTCTGTGGGTTGCTCATCTTCTGGATTATTGAGGTTTGGGCTCTCCATGCACTTCAAGTTTGAGGAATGCCCAATATTCTGGTGAACAGTCTGTCCCATTGCCATAGAGTGGACCATTGACAAAATGCCCTTCCATTAACTATACGAAATGTTTGCTTGCCCTAAGGTAGGCTGTGTTGATTATGTGACTCCATTACTCGGTGGATGCCTTTTTGGTGGATTGGAGTTGTTAGCGATTTCTCTTTCTTCCCTCTGGTTTGGTGGGGGTTCCTGATTCTTTGCAGACAAGAGACATTCCCTGAGAGGGCTCTCCTGTTGGTCCTCTTTTGGCTGGCCCAGTTTTGGTTTCCTTCCATTTTAGGCTCATTCTCAAAACCACAAAGTTTTCCATGGCTCTACTTCTTTCAATAGTACGACCTGGAGATGTTCTTCGAGCCTGGCTCTAAGGTGGGCTTGAAAGAACTCTTGAAATTAACTACCGGTAAGCTACAAGTAAGCTCAGGAAGCTACCCAGTGCCATGCAGAAAGAATTGTTTTATTACATTTAATGCATTATTTTTGTTTACATTGTTGGTCATAGCATCAATTTTCTAAATGTATTTGTTTCACAAACTATCTTTGAGCAGTTGTGTGTTTTGTGTGCACTATGGTTAATTTTAACCCTATACAATACCTTAATGTTCCTCGGTATCAAAAACTTAACAGCAACACAATTTCAGGCAGACAGGTGGATCATGCAAAGTCCTTTGGCCGCATTGCCTTTGCGGCCCCAGGTGCTGATTTACCCGGTATTGAGAAGACAGTGAAAGAAGCAAATGAGACAATTCTCACACCATACATTTCTCTTGACACCCCTGGCAAAGCTACTGTGCAAGTTGTCATCTTGGCCGATCCTGTAAGTTATGTATGGTTGAACTCAATTTCTAAGACTTATTTCTTAATATTTACTGTACTGATATAATTTTCTCTTGAGTTTTGGGTCATTAGTTTGATGTATTTGTAAAGTATACTGAAAGATTTATGAAGAGTACTGGATGTGGAATGATGTTTATTTCAAATATTAATAAACTTAAAAATTTGCATGTGATACTGGGGCTTCATGTTCTGTCACTGTGGTACAGCTTCTCATCCTTTGAATTTAAAAGCTTGGGGGGGGGGGATATTTTACTGAAGATTAATTTACCCTAAATTTCTTTCTGCTGGAGGTGAAAATAGCCTTGGATTTAGGACTCATTGCTGCTCAGACCTCAAAAAACAGTGAGATTTGTTAAGTTGTATAGAATGTTAGATGTAAATGAACATAAAGAGCTTCAGGTAGTGAAAGTTGTTAAGGAAGGAAAGTTTTATGTGATATCTATCTATAAGAAAGTTTTATGTGAATTTGAGGTGTGAATTTGAATTCATATTTGAGACAGAGATATAAGGATATCAGAATAATGAATGAAATATTGAAATGTTATGAGAGCTCGAGTGAAATTGTAGAAAAATCTTAACAAACATATACAGTAGTAAAATTGAGTGTTTGTGATGCGAAAGCAGTGCAAGAATGTTTAGAAGTTTGTCTTAGCACATGTTAATGCTCTGTAAGATAACATTGAGAAGTGAAAGGGTAATCATATTTCATAAAAATTCAAGAAGTGAGAAGTTGAGTCATAGAGAAGTGGCAAATGGGTAGAGAAGAGGAGTTGAGTGCTTTTTGAAAAAGCAATTACAGTGGTCCTTTCACTTACAAATTTAATCCGTTCCAAGAGACGTGTCGGAAACCGACAAATCGTAAACCGAAACAAATTTTCCCATAAGAAATAATGTAAATTGAATTAATCTATTCCACATGTCCAAAAATATTAACTTAAAAATACATTTTTACAGAATACTACTCATGTGTTGTACTACTGTGTATCTTACCTTTATTGAGGAATCTTGTTGGCGTATGGAAGATGGTGAGGAGGGGGGGTAGGGGGAGGAGGAAAGGTGTCTGGAGGCACTTGGGTTTTTCTACATCTTAACACTTGTCTGTAGTGAGACATCACATTCATTCACTATGAATGGTCTCTTGTTTTTGCTCTAGCGTCATCCTCACAACTATTTTCTTAGGTTGAACTTTACCAGTTACTTTCTCGGGACCCATGGCATGTATATAATGAGAACTTTACTGTTCAGAAACCAAAAAAGCAGCAAAACAATGAAATTGTTTACAAAGAATTCAAGTGCGGTCGTCATTTGGCAGGAGACACTGGTAAACTGATTGTGCCTCACCCGCACCCAGCAGAGCCACGTTCTCTCTCGACCCATACAAGTATCAACAGACGTTGTATTCCAAGGCAAACGTCGTAGACCAAGTCAGATTTTACAAGGAATTTGACGTCGTATACCAAGAAAATCGTAATCTAGGGCAGTCGTACACCAAGGTACCACTGTATGAATAAATGAACCTTTGTACCATGTGGGTTATATTTAAGAAATCTTTGGTTAAGACTGCCAAGGAAGTGTATAGACTCAAATGTTTCACAAACTGGTTGAAGAATGAGAGAAACTGTTTGGTGGTACAAGACAGTAACTAGAGCAGTTGAGAAGAATATGAAATGGGTTTTATCGATACAAAGTGAATGAAAGAATGAGAAGTAAGAATCAGAAGCATGATGAAAATAAAATGTATGTGAAATGATTAGTTAAACAGAAAAATTTGAATGAAGAGATAGACAAAATGAAAGAAAATTAAGAAAACATGAAGTTTTTTGGGAAGTTGAGCAAGAAGATTGGTAGAGGGGTAAATGAGGATGTTAACCCTCAAACCGCTAGGAGTCCAAATGGATTTAACACCCACAGGCGTAACCAAAAAAAAAAAAAAAAAAAAAAAATCTTTTGTCTTATAAAAGTGTTCATTTTTGTTACTTGATCACGAAAAAAATTAACAAAAAAAATCGTAGGTGGCATATTTTAGCTGCAATAGGGTAGGGAAGTCTGGCAAAAAAGGGGCGTTGACAGAGCCTTCGCCAGACAAGGTCTACTCCGCTCGAGCTGTCAGGCGGCAGTTGCCACAAATATATTATTACCTAATTATTTCAATGTCTCTGATTTTTTCTTAGTTTTTTTGCAGTAATATTATTCAATACAGTGAATTGTGATATATTTATATAATAAAATGTGTGAACCATTGCTGTACTCAAAATTATGGTGTGCATATTAGTGATTCAATTATTATTTTCATAAAACAATAAACAAATAGTTTTGCTGTTGTTACACTATATACACAGGTTATATATAAGTATTTGCATGTTTTGTTCACCATAACGAACCACTAAGTTGGTCTTGTTAGTCAAAAATCAACGAGGAGTGACCGCCTCACACCAGCCAGCCACTCGCTGCCACTCCCTCCCTCAACAACACCTCACTCGTCCTCATTCTTCTCCCACAATACTGTTTTTACATTTATTCACTATACACAGACGTTATATATAAGTATTTACATGTTTTGTTCACCATAACTGTACATCTAAGCTTGTATGGTGAGTAAAGGCACAAAGACGTAGCTACTCATACAGTCAACTGGTGGCAGCCGCCCTCAAGGCCAGACGCACTAATATTTCTCCTCCAACAATATTGTTTGTGGTGTTATTACGCTATATACACACATTATATACAAGTATCTACCTGTTTTATTCACCATACCTGTACAAATAAGCTGGTATGGTGCCCAAAGACCATAGTGGCCACCAGTAAACAACATGGTAAGTCGTGCAGACGACGCACCTCCCTCACCAAAATGGCGGCTCCCAACCTACTCCTATTGCTGTTATCACACTCTAAACACACGTTATATATAAGTATATACATTTGTGTTCATCATAGCGAACCATTAAGCTGGTATGGTGAGTCCAGTCAATAAAAGGTGGCCACAATTGAAAAATTTAAAAACCTGACTTTAGGCGAGGACATTATGGCAACCTTAGAAAAATTTTTAGTGAGTATAATTTGACAGACTTGTTGCTAGGCAAGGAAGTGAATGAGATGTATGTCAGGTTTTGTGAAATATATGATAAAGGCACAAAAAAATTTATACCAAAACAAAGAAGCAGAACTAGGAAACAGGATTGGTTCAACAGAAAGTGCGAGAGGGCCAGAGACCAAAAGACACAAAAATGGAATCAATACAGGAAGAGGCCGAACCCCCAAACATACCAGCGATACAAAGATGCGAGAAACAACTACACGGCAGTGAGGAGAGAGGCAGAAAGAAATTTTGAAAAAGGGATTGCAGACAAATGTAAAACAGAACCAGGTCTATTCTATAAATTCATAAACAACAAATTGCAGGTAAAGGATCATATTCAGAGGTTGAAAATGGGAAATAGATTCACGGAAAATGGAAAGGAAATGTGTGAAACATTAAACGAAAAGTTCCAAAGTGTGTTTGTACAAAATGAAATTTTCAGGGAACCAGATACAATAAGAATTCCAGAGAACAACATAGAGCACATAGAGGTGTCTAGAGACGAAGTGGAAAAAATGCTCAAGGAGCTAAATAAGAACAAAGCAGTTGGTCCAGATGGAGTTTCACCATGGGTTCTGAGAGAATGTGCACCTGAGCTCAGCATTCCTCTTCAACTGATTTTTCAGGCATCCCTGTTTACAGGAGTTGTAGCTGATGTGTGGAAAAAGGCTAACATAGTTCCAATCTACAAAAGTAGAAGCAGGGAAGACCCCCTTAATTATAGACCGGTATCATTGACAAGTGTAATAGTCAAAATATTGGAAAAAATAATTAAATCTAAATGGGTAGAACACCTGGAGAGAAATGATATAATATCAGACAGACAGTATGGTTTTCGATCTGGAAGATCCTGTGTATCGAATTTACTCAGTTTCTATGATCGACCAACAGAGATATTACAGGAAAGAGATGGCTGTGTTGACTGCATCTATCTGGACCTAAAAAAGGCTTTCGACAGAGTTCCACATAAGAGGTTGTTCTGGAAACTGGAAAATATTGGAGGAGTGACAGGTACGCTTCTAACATGGATGAAAAATTTTCTGACTGATAGGAAAATGAGGGCTGTGATCAGAGGCAATGTATCGGACTGGAGAAATGTCACAAGTGGAGTACCACAGGGTTCAGTTCTTGCACCAGTGATGTTTATTGTCTACATAAATGATCTACCAGTTGGTATACAGAATTATATGAACATGTTTGCTGATGATGCTAAGATAATAGGAAGGATAAGAAACTTAGATGATTGTAATGCCCTTCAAGAAGACCTGGACAAAATAAGTACAAGGAGCGCCACTTGGCAAATGGAATTTAATGTTAATAAATGCCATGTTATGGAATGTGGAATAGGAGAACATAACCCCACACAACCTATATATTATGTGAGAAATCTTTAAAGAATTCTGATAAAGAAAGAGATCTAGGGGTGGTTCTAGATAGAAAACTATCACCTGAGGACCACATAAAGAATATTGTGCCAGGAGCCTATGCCACGCTTTCTAACTTCAGAATTGCTTTTAAATACATGGATGGCGATATACTAAAGAAATTGTTCACAACTTTTGTTAGGCCAAAGCTAGAATATGCAGCAGTTGTGTGGTGCCCATATCTTAAGAAGCACATCAACAAACTGGAAAAGGTGCAAAGACATGCTACTAAGTGGCTCCCAGAACTGAAGGGCAAGAGCTACGAGGAGAGGTTAGAGGCATTAAAAATGCCAAAACTAGAAGACAGAAGAAAAAGGGGATATGATCACTACATACAAAATAGTAACAGGAATTGATAAAATCGATAGGGAAGATTTCCTGAGACCTGGAACTACAAGAACAAGAGGTCATAGATATAAACTAGCTAAACACAGATGCCGAAGACATATAAGAAAATTCACTTTCATAAACAGAGTGGTAGACGGTTGGAACAAGTTAGGGGAGAAGGTGGTGGAGGCCAAGACCGTCAGTAGTTTCAAAGCATTATATGACAGTGCTGGGAAGACGGGACACCACGAGCGTAGCTCTCATCCTGTAACTACACTTAAGTAATTACAAACAGTCAGAAGACGACGCCACCACCCTCCCTCCCACAGCCTTACTCCTCCCTCCATGGAGTACAGCGCTAAATATCACCACAATCCTGCTATTATCAGAATCCTGGTCAGTTTTATCACGGGTCTTCTGTAATACTATCATCGCTAAATAATAGCATATCATATATATTATGGCATTTGTAGGCGATGCTGTGGTCACAAACTGAACAGCGGTGCTGTGAACTCGTGCTGCGTGTGCCAGCCTTGGTGGCTTGCTCAATACTGAAGCTCTCACACTCAAGAATGTTGGCCTGGATTTTTTTGTAGGTGGCATCTGGTAACTATCGGTTGTGGCTGCACTATAGCTGCCCCTATCCCAGGCGGGGCGTTTAAATTATAGCACTATACACAAAATCATATATATATATGACATGCGCGGTTTCGGTTTTGCCAATGAAAGCATATATAGTATGATTTGCACGGTTTAAGGGTTAAAGATAAGCTTAGGTGAATACAGTACATTACAATTTTATTCAAAAGAATGTGTGTGCAAAGAACAAAGGAGTAATGTACAAGTTGTAGGGACAGGAGTTACACAATCTATGAAGCCACTATTATGCAAAGCATTTTGGCCAAAAAAAAAAAATTACAAAAGGTGTAAGGGGGGTAAATAACAAATGAATATTATAATAACAAATAACAATGCATAATAATAAAAATGAATAAGAATGAATAATAACAAATAACACTTAAGGATGACAGGCATAGACTAATACAGTATGAAGTCAGTAGTTGTAGCAATAGTACAGTAGTTTGTTTACATTAACGACAATGTTAATACAGGGTGTAGTTTACAAGAACTGGACTCTCTCATAACATTTTATTTGAAACATAACAGAACATACAGTAATATGGTAATAGGTCAATGGGGCTAACACTAAAAATGAACCAGGAACATAAAGGACACGAGTGAACACTTTAACAAAGTAATGCAAAAAATTAGAGACGATAAACACACAGTACATAATACTCGGTAAATAAAAATTAGAGAAAAAAGTAACACAAAAGCAACTTATTATAAGGGAAATTGTGAGTGAAATTAGTTACATAGTATTGATTATAAGATATTAATTACATGATATTAATTAAATATTTCTTAGTCTCTCTTTTAAACTGGTTGGGAGATGTACAGCTTTTAATAATGTTTGGGAGATCATTGCACATCTTTGCACAATTTGGGACCCTTGATTTGCAGTTTCTGCCTAGATTTGCATTTCTGCCTTGATTAAGTCTCACTAGGAATATCAGAGATATTTTTTTCTTGTGTGGTGACCATGAGTTATTATTATTATTATTATTATTATTATTATTATTATTATTATTATTATTATTATTATTATTATTATTATTATTGTTATTGTTATTATTATTATTATTATTATTATTATTATTATTATTATTATTATTATTATTATTATTATTATTATTATTATTATACAAGAGTTCTTAAATTCTTGTAAAACAACTAGCACGCATAGCATTTCGGGCAGGTTAATCTTAATTTTTCCTGGAATACAACCTGCCAAATCATTTAACCACCAGGTCAGGTAACCATTCACTGCTGGGTGAACAGAGGCTACAGTTAAGGATTGGCGCCCAGTCAATCATTCCCAGCCAGGATACGAATCCAGGCCAAAGTGCTCACGAAACGCTGGGCGAGTTCTTTTACAGCCTTCTAGGAAGCACTTAAGGTCAAGATTGGCATTGCAATTCAAGAGTTTCATAGATATAGAGAACATTTGAGAGTATGTGCAGAGACTTGATATTTAGATGAGACTTGAAATAACAAATGATGAAAAGAATAGAATCAAATGAAGAGAATACTTTGTAACTGTACCAGTAATATAATTGCTCTAAAACTCGGAAAGTGATGATGCCAGCTGGTAAAACTCCTAGGTGTGTACACTCTTGAGGAACTGAAATGTGGGGAAAAGGTGTAAGTGTTGAAGAGGTATATACAGTAATGATTAAATATTTTGAAGGAACATACATGTAGTGACTGGAATTGGACTACTGGTACTTTTTGTAAGTAAAAGAAAGTGCTAGTATAAAAATTAGTGGCATTCAGAAAATATTATGGTAATCCATGGGATTGAACTTATTGAATGGAATTGAAGTCCTGTCTTTGGACTTCCCCAGACACATGCACTACCAACTGTACCATAATGGGTTTCAAAGTATCACAACCCGAGTTTTGAAAGGCACCAACTGGTAACCACAACCCAGTTTTTACGAGATACTCACCAACACTTTGGTGTAGGTAGTGATGTCCTCTACCTTACATGATTCTCAATGCATAGTACAGTGTATTGACCTAACTGTGAGGGCTATGTAGCTGTACAAGCCACAAAGACAGTCTCATAAACCAGGCAATCACCAAGGTAGACTGGCCCCAGACTGCAATAAATCTGTCTAAATAGTCTATAGGTAATCTACATCTACAGTACAAGTAAAGTAAGAATGTCAGAGAAAGAAGAAATTCATGTGCATATTCCTAATATAATTAAATAGAGTACTGTATGTGAATTTTGATATATGCAGAAGATAGTTATTTTAACCCTTAAACAGCAACTATAGAGAAATGGTCATACCTGTCTGCACAAAAAATATAAAAATTAGAAGAAATAATTTTTAATTGTAAAAATATTCATTTGTTTGCAAAGTGTAAGAAAACACAAAAATAAATGAATATTTATGGTTTCACTGGGTGGAGGCACTCTGCGAGGCTGAGTCTGCTGGCACTTGTCAACACCTGGTGCTCAACTTTGCTGATGCTTCATGTTTTATCCACCGATGTTTCACTGATTGTTTTATCACTTGTTTTTCTTTATTTACATCCACAGAGAGCTTTTATATCCATAATAAACAAATATTATATTATTACAAATATTATAATGCATTGCATTATATATGTAAAACCCACACAATAATTGTTTAAATCTTCATATGTTTATAACAACATAACTTATAAATAAACAATTGACGATAACCGCTGCCTAAAGGTTAACAATGATGGAGATTTGTGTAGACCAATTAACAATGTTAATGATGTGTGTGAGAGAAGACTGTTACAAGTGAAAATGGAGTAAAGTCAAGTAATGATGGTAGACAGCGAAGGACATTGTATGTGAAATAAATCTACATGGTAGAAGTAGTCAGATTCAAAATATTTGGTGTACTGTAATTGAAAATTAATTTGTGCATTAATAGATTTAGGGTATGTATGTAAAGTGCAGTAATGCTGCAGTTATGTTCTAATTAATTTACCACAATTTTTAATCTAATTTCTAACAGGATGGCCATGAAATATGCTTTGTTGGAGATGAAGGATTTCGTGAGTTATCCCAAGTGGACCCAAAAGGTGACGAGCTTCTGAATGAGGCAATGAAAGAAGACAAGTCAGATGAGTGGTTTGCTAATCAAGGTGGAAAGGCTTCAGCCTAAATATGATTTTGGTTACAACTCATTTTAATAATTAGTACAATTAAGTCTTAAAATTGTATTAGGCCTCTGAGACCCACTCTGACTTATCAGGACCAGTGTCTGGTTCTCTGAGGTGAGTAGAGCAGGTGGGGTTAAAGATTGACTTAAGAACTGAAGAAAACCATCAGAAAGTCTAGCCAAAACAAAATGAAGCACAATGTGAAAGAAATTAGAAATTGAGGAAATACAATTGATTTAAATGATGATTGGTTATGGGTGAACAACCCAAGGCCCTACTTGGCCCCACTAGATGGCACCCAAGGTAACCCAGGGTACAACCCCACAAACCACCTCACTTGCTTGATATTGTGAAGGTCTAACCACCTCTGCTGGGACCTACTCGTTGCTTCCTTAATCATCTAAGTGGTATAATGTGTTTTTCTTAGAACAGTTGTTTTGTGTGGGGCCAATTTTGTTTTTGTTCAAATTTTACACTTCACAATTGTGTGTTCCTTAACCCCAACATTAGTCCATGGTTCCCTACCCTCGTTGTTGGCTTCCATCTGCCTTATTCCACTAGTTATCTTCTGGTTCTTCCTCTTCGAGAATGATTAACAAGCAGTTAATGTATTTAGCAGTGTTGTAGCGCTAACTTAGACTTGGGTGTGATTGGGTCTTGTTATCTTGAGGTCATCTTGAGATGATTTCGGGGCTGTTTAGTGTCCCCGCGGCCCGGTCCTCGACCAGGCCTCCACCCCCAGGAAGCAGCCCGTGACTGCTGACTAACACCCAGGTACCTATTTTACTGCTAGGTAACAGGGGCATAGGGTGAAAGAAACTCTGCCCATTGTTTCTCACCGGCGCCTGGAGTCGAACCCAGGACCACAGGATCACAAGTCTAGTGTGCTGTCCGCACGGCCGACCGGCTCCCTAAGGAGCCGGTCAAATTAAGAGCCCCAAAAGAGCCCCAAATTAAGGCCTCCCTTGGGCCTTAATTTGGTTTGCACTGGGGTTATGTTAAGTTATACAGTATTTTTACTTGTGGCTTTATATGCCTTTTCTTGTCTAACTGTTGAGATGAAGTGTTTGCTTAGCTGAGTACATTCCTCTTTTACTGGCTATGTCCATTTGTTGTTTCACATCCCAGGCAGCCATTTCCAGTTGCTATTGGGAGGTTCATTTGTATCGGCTTTTTCTCTATTGGTTGGGTATTGATGGGTTTCCTTTCCAATTTAGAACCTTGCAATTTTTCTGTAGGAACTGTTTTTCAGCGTTTTTTTAACTCAAAGATAGTTCCTGCTTTCCCTGTCCTATTGTTTTTGGTTTCAGGAATTTTTCACCTTTGGCTGTGGTGTTCTTGTCGCCAGACCATGGTCTTGGCTGTCTCACCCTCGGGTTGGCTGCCTTTCTTTAGCATGTGCTAAGTGTTTAGGGCATATGTTGGCCTTCGTCCTTGTCATGGCAGCTGTGGATTTCTGCCATTGTGTTGGCACCTGTAGGTCTTTGCTCTTGTTGGGCAGGTGTTGGTTGCTGTCATGGTATCCCGAGTGTTTTTGTGAAATTTGTAAGGTTCTCCTGTGGCTGGTGGTTGATCTTGATTGTTTGTTTGGGTTCCTTTCACTGTTCCCTGCATCAAGAGCATTTCCTTTCTTGCAGTTGCTGCTGCTCTGGGTACAGATGAACTTTGCACTGGCTTTTGGTTTTGTATTTAGGCTTGCAAGTAATTGTTTGAGCTCCTTTTGCACTCTAGTCTGTGACAGATTTTCAGTGTTTTGCCTCTGTTATCTGTCCTGGTTTTTCTGACCATCTGTTCACTTGGATAATTTATCCAGAACCTGTTCATTAAGGTGGTTTGCTGTCTGTGTCACCTTATCTCTGCCTTCACTTGTTCTTTTTTTGTTTACTGCATTTCCAGGCATCTGTTCTTTTGTCTTTGGTCATCTGTTTCATCTACCTCTCTCGGCTATGGTGGTATCACTATCCTCCAGACCAGAAGCCCTTTTTGGGTGGTGTGCCTTTCTTGACCTGTGTTTTCTTGTTCCTATGTACAATAAGGGCTCCTATCTCTGGACGTCATTGTTCATTTGGTTCATTCCCTGACCATCTGTGCCTGTTCTTCAAATCCTTTGGTATGCAGAGGTTGCCTTCAGCTTGTATTGAAGTTCATTTTACTCTTTTTCCATGTTCCTTTGTTGGGTGTGCAATTTGTTTGTACATTGGCTGCCTCTTTCTTGATTTTGGCAGTGACAATTTGTCCCTCTTGTAGGTTCCTTTTGAGGTCTGTGTTTTAATGTTCATGTACCCATTTTCTTGCCCTTAGTTCCTTATGGTATTCCATTCTGCCCACTGACTGGTCTGGTTCATTATTAGTTTTCTGGATTTCTTCTCATGGATGAGATTTATACATGGACATAACCTTGTATGTGTTTTTGCAAGTTTGTGGATCTTATTTCTTGATTTTTCGTGAATTCTTGCTATGGCTTGATCAGTTGTTACTGGGCGGCAATCTTTGCGCACTCCTTACTGTTAGGGTGATGGCTGCTTCTTCACCCTCTGTCCCTTGGCTTGGATTTTTGTAGTTAAACAGGTTTGGCTTCTTGCTGCTTGGCTATTCCATGGCCTTGTATGGCACTTGAGCATCTGGTGTGGTAATGCTTCTTCTGTACCCAGAGCTCTGTCATCCTCTTCTATGGTAAACCCTTATCTGGCTTTTTCTTTTTTTAGCTCTATGCTTTTTTCAGCACAGCCATTCTCTCAAAGGCACTGTTGTGAGGTAGCACTGGGGGTGCTACCGAGAGAGGTTTTTCCGTGAAATCAAGCAGTGAATATAATGAAACTTCCTCTTCTGGTTGGCCCTCAGTTGCTCTTCATCCCTGCCCAGGTGGCTTAGGGTTCCATCTGGCAGCAGCTGGGCATATAAGAACAAAAGTTGTTCATATGTGGCAAACTATTGGGTACCTTGCATTGCTCTTTTATCATTTTTTATTTCAAACAGTGGCTTGCTTTGTTTTGTCTGACTTTGTGGTCAGTTTTCTTCAGTTTTGGGTCAGTCCTTGATTCCCAAACTTTTATTGCCTCTGAGAGCTAGATTCTGGTCCTGGATCCTGGTAGATCAGCATGGTTTTCAGAGACCTGGGATGATCCTAAGGCTTAGTGGTACCAGTGTTTAAGCACCAGAATGCTACCAAGAATCTTGTAGAAAAATGCAGAATGCATTTTGTTGCATTCAATACTTAATTTTTCCCATGGACTGTTGCTTTGGCTGCTGATATGTGTATGTTACCATTACATAGTACATCAGTTACAGTATATTACACTGTTGGTTAAGTTGATTCTATTTTTGTTGTTTTGATATTTGCAATAATTATAGTGTCCATTGAATTAGGTTTTCCATACCAAGACATTTTGCATTTCCCAGTACGATTATGTTGCTGCTCAATGCACTGTTTGAAAATACATAGCCTGCTTGACTTTATTACCAAGTGTGGAAGGGCTATAGGGTTAAACTTCTAAATCTTATCTAGTATGAGAGAAATCAAGTTTGAAGTGTAATATTTTACAAGCAGATTTGCATTGTATTGGAGAGCACATGTCCTGTGCTTTGGAAAATGTAGCCCTTGTTCCACTATTGTCACAATTTAATATGTAAGAATTTATTATTCCAATGAAAGCAAAAAACTCTATTCAGTAGGGAAGGACCAGCAGGTTTCAGACAGTGTAATGTTCCTAACCAAATTAAATTTAATAAAAATCTTTTCATAAATGGTTGTACATTTATAATTTTGTTTGTAAAAAATGACAATACATTATGTACATAAGAGAAAGTCATGACAACAGCATAATACGTAATCATTATGCAGTAATTTTATACTGTTTTATATAGATTTAGATGTAGACGCTTTGTCAGGGATTGATAAAAATCATTACAGTTGTGGCTGTAATGAACAGGTGTTACTCATAGAAAAAAAACTTGTCGCTTACAATTAGTGGCAAGACTTGTATCTGTATTGACAAAATATATAGCATAAAATTAGGATGATGAGAAGGTTTGAAGGATAACTAATATAAACTAAATCATTCTACATGAACAGATTTACAGGCTTCCCTAGATCAAAATGGCACTGAACACACAAATTAGTTAACATAGATCTGATATAAAAAGGATTTAAAGTGCTTGTCAATAAGCCATCTCTGGGTGACAGTAAATCCTAAATAATTCCAAATATCCAGCTGAGAATCTCCCTTCTTTCTCTACTGATTAGTTTTATTCTATGCTGTACGCCTGCTACTCTATTATATACATCATGCACCCTTAAGTTGTGTTTATTACAAGTTATATTTCTGGAAAAGTTGAGTGGTCAATAACAAGTGAATACCTGAAAAAAGTGCTAATTGTGTTTGCTGGATGTGTGATTTTTCACACACAAAAGGATATCATTCATTTGTAAATTCTTTCTTCAAGTGTAGGTGTGAACACCAAGCCAGACAGGAGACTGCACTGAGTCAAAGATGGGCTCCTAAGAATTGTCTTTAACATTTCTTCCATTCACAATTTAGCTTACCAAGATCAGCATTTTGTAGGTCCCATAGTTCAAACCCATACAAGTTGATGCATTGACTATTTAATAACTTTACTTTCAATCGGGTATCATGATTACCAAATTCTTTCATAATGACATTTGTTCTGACTTTCAGATCTAATAGCATCAGAAAAATTGACGAGTGTACACTTTGAAGATACTGTATAATATTCCCTAGATGCTTTTCAGAGTATCTTAATGTAATCTCTCTGCATACTAATTTTAGACCTGAATAAAATAACGAGACCAGTAAGTTAAGGGCAACTACAACACATTTGGGAGGCTTGAACCTTAGGTTGTATGCAACAATTTATCTTTCACGTGTCTTCTTATTTTTCCACGGTATCTGGTTGGTTCCTGTAGAACTAGATCAGCATAACACAGATTCCTCTTCCTAAAATTATTCATCTTGCAATAGAGGGATGGCAGACCAGTTTATTATTGTAATGATGTCTTGGTACAACATTTACTTGGATCTAACATCACACATGTTTTTATGATGTCTTTTATAATCCTTAATGTTATGAATATGCCAGACTTGTCTCGCATAAGAAATATTGATATATCGTGTATTGTTTCTGGTAAATTTCATAGTTTATCATTTTTATCTTGAGAACAAATTTGCACTAGAGGTTGTTGTCTAAGATTC